ATTGCGCGGGCTCTGTTGTGGCGAAGTTCAAATCTCGTGCGCCGCGGTGACTTGTGATGGGCTGCGGCAGGTACTGCGATTGCGCGCTGACTCGTCATTGGCGGCGGCGCTTGCGTGCTGCTGAACAAAGGATCTCATTACTGCGCGGTTGAAAGTTGACGTCTAGTGCAGAGTTGTTCGCCCGATCACCAAGGTTAAGCTACATTGATCGTAATGCTTGAAATGGAGACCGTTTGGGAACATCGCAATTTTACATCATTTTACACGTTTTAATGTTGTGAATTGGTCTGATATGAGTTGAAAATGCTGAGAAATTGATTTCTAGAATTTATTATAATTATTATTATTTTTTATAAAGGGGAAATCAGACAAACTGGGCAAGTCAATTTTTTACGAGAGAACGTTTGAGCGGATTCCTTTGAAAATTTTAAGGAATTTGCTTCGTATTATGGAAAAAATTCACTGAAATTTGAGCCAAAATCCGCCCAACCGTTTTCATGTAAAAAATTAATTCACCCAATTAAATTTGGCAATAGCTGATGTGGCTTGATTCCTTTCTGTTTAACGCGGTCCACATATCAGTCTATGGCCTTGTTTTTACGAGAAGTTCTCATGAGATCTGTCGTAGGGAAATCTCGACTGAGCACAGAGGAGAATTTCACGAGCGCCGCCGCCCGCGGCGCATTATGGTCCAAAACTTAAGGATAGGAAGAAATAAGTCGGATAATGACTGAAAGATCACGAAAGTTTCGTAATCGATGTTTCGCTGAGTCGTTAACTTCGAATTTGATGTCAAATTGCTCTCAAATTTTTCCTTTGAATTTTCAGACCTTTAGATCAAATTACAAGCAAAATTACCTAAGAAATTGGAAGAGAAATATTCAAACATTTTCTTGAAAATTACCTAATGATTTGCTAAAGGAAGTTGGGCAACGCCTGAGGGCTCATACTGCGTTTTTCCTTAGCACGGCAGAATACTGGATCAGGAAAATGTTTGACAATTTAAATCCATTCAGACACAATTTGACTCAAAATGTGTGCCTCAAAATGTTTGAGGCTCTCGGGATGAATATTAGGTACTAGCTGAATGAACGCAGTGTTTTCATGGAAGATTCATCTCTAAGAGAAATCATTATTCAGGTTTTCTTCCACCATCCAGAATTTCTGTGGTGATGGGGGGCGTGATGATACTATTTTCAAATCTTGGGGGGCCAGGCCTCTCTTGAAACCCCCCTTTGTACTCGTACGCCCATGAACTTGTCGCCAAAACATGAAAGCTCCCTCTCGTGGCGACGGGAACCACGAAAAATGCGTTTCGTTTCCGCGATTCGACCCGGGACTGGGGACAAATCTCATGAAAACGTCTCGGGGAGACAAGGCCTGAAACTTCACATTAAGAACATCTGACATCTGACTGAACAAACCTTTGATTATAAATCCTCTCTGAAGTGTTGAAGACGATAAGAGACGATGGGGAGCGTAATAATTCCAAACACCACACTAACGTAACCACTCAAAACCTTTAACAACACTCCACAGATAAGACACAGAAATCACAAACTGAGAGATCCAGGGAGTATCACACAACGTGCGCTCGAAATACCGAATTAAATACGCACAAAACCACGAAAGAAACTGCGAGAACGAGCGGTGCTACCACATGAAATCGACGAAGAAAACTCACGTGTTGATCTCGAACTTGAAAACCCAAAACATTGCAACTTTGAAATCCGTCATGCGCAGTGTACTCCGCGGATGAGAAAGGTGCTGAACTTTCCGATTAAGCCGATTAACCCTCAACGATGATAGGAGTTTGAGATTCGCACTTTTCGAACACCCCGAATGAATTGGCAGACGAAAATACACCGAAATTAGAGACGAGTTGATAATCACGCGAGGCCGCGTTGTTTACTAACATCGGCGAGCACAGACAGAACATCTGATTCCCGCCGATCGGCGCCGTAGTTCCGGATCCGCGCGCAGTAGCGCCACTTGTCGCGCGACTCTGCAGCGCCGCGCCGGCCGCGCCAGCCGCCGCGGCCGCAGTAAGGGAATGCTAGCTTTATGAATTGAATCAACTTTAATTCAATTTCTTTGAGTGTATGGATAATCAATATAGCCTCTTGTCATCATTTTACTCTTTAATTATGAAGTGGAAGTATTTCTACCAAACAGACGTATCCCAAGTAGCAGAGGTTGCAACAACTTGCAACAAAATCGTTGAATTCTTGCAACTAATAGATTGACGTGCAGATTGCCTGCTCTTTCCCCCGAAGGAGCTATCATTGTTGGAACTTGTTGGAATTAAGTTGAAACATGTTCCAACTTCAATATCGTTCCCGGTCCTTACATTTGGCTAAATTTTGAATATCGCGGCCTTCTTCGCAAACTGGTAAGGACGTCACGTGACTGGTCTTTACTTAATTTAATTAATATAATATAATAAATTATAATATATTATAATAAATTATTAATAATATTATTCATTTTTCATTGATTTATATTATTTATTTATCTTATTTCGTTTTTAATATTTTCATTTTTAATAACTACACATCCGTCCATATTTTATTTTATTTTTTCATGTGTTGTTCGTACTCCTCTCTTTCAAAAACTTGATCTACTTGATATAATTTTCGTATCCTTCATTGTGAGACTGAATGATGTACAAAATTGCAAGAATATCATTGCTTCTAATCATTGAATTAGATCTGGGGACGTTTATTAGTGCTAAATTAGCCACATCCCCACGCGAGCGTCCGTGGTGGAGTGGCAACGACACTCGGGCGATCACCGAAGTTCAGCAACGTCGGGCGTAGATAAGTACTTCGGTGGGTGACCGTTTGGGAACTCAAGCGCAGCGCGGCTTAACTCTGGCGTACATTGGTTGTCGGCAGGGGCGGATTGGCAGGCGGGAATACTGGGAAAAATTCCGGTGGGCCGGTTGGTATTTTGGGCCGCTTTAAAATAAACTTATATTACTACTACTTTCTTTCTTTCTTTCTTAAAACTTAACCTTCCCCCTCAACCCTTTTGTATTTTCACTGACGTAACCTTGGTTTCCATGTGAACACACGGAGGTGTAAATGGCCGTAGATGCTAAAGCACCGCTTTAAAATAAACTTATCTTACTACTACTACTACTACTATTACTACTCCTACTAATTTCTTTCATTTTTTCTTTTTTTATCTCCATAGCCTAAAAGTATGTGGAGAAATGGGATAAAATCTTCGTGAACTGTCACTTTCTCATAAAATAGGGTGAGGCTCCACGGGCCTCCATTGTTCCACGGGGCTGCTTTATGCTCCACGGTCGCAGCCAACTTTGCAAATATTTTGTGACTCTAATTGCGTATGTTCGCGCTTAAAAATGGCTTCTTGAGGTGCTAATTTTTCAAATTTTTTCCGGGGGAGGGCCCCCAGACCCCCCTTTCTCTGTGAAGTGTCCCCCCGACCCCCATTTGGTTTGTGGGCCGGTTTGGCTGTACATTTCCCGGTGACTTTTTTCGTCCCAGTCCGCCCCTGGTTGTCGGGTTCTTTTAGCGGCACTTCTCCAGTGTCCACAATGAAAATTATGCACAATGAAAATTAAGAACGTGCAGTGCCCCTAAATTTAAGCATTTTGGAACTTTTTTTTCAGTGTGATATCATATCGGTAACATGTTGATATCATGGCGATAACATGTTGATATCATATATGATAACAGGTTCCATTCACCTTTTTGCTACCATGTTGGGCCAGACCAACTTGTAACCAACATGGTCATTTTTAGCAGGGATGATTTTGGCAACGTCGATAAGTTGCAAGATTTATGGAATTCAATTGCTATAAGTTGCAACTTTTCTTCCGATCAGATCGCCGAGAATCGGCACTTATCGACCAAATGTTGACTAAGAGTTGCAACTAAGTTGCAACTTAGTTTCGACTATTAACCAATATTGTTTCAACTTCTTGCAACTTTAACTTTGAAAAATGCTACTTGGGATGTGCAGGTGAGAAATGTGGGGTGTGCTCGTTAGTTCTCTGGCCGTAAGAGTGAATGAGAATAATAAAGCGCTGGTGACGTCAGCGTAAACGAAGTCGTCTTCGTTGTCGCTCTTCCTCCACTTTAACTCATGAGCCCTGTTCACAACGCTCTCGTCCCATGCCCGCGGCTCATGAATCCCGCATTCAGTTGGCGCTTAGTTCCTTTTGGTAGAATATAAAATCCCGCTTTTCCAATTCATCAAAAGGAATCACGCTCACTTTTACATTGCTTCTTATGCAGCTTTCTAGAGCACACCCCATATTTCTCACCTGCACATAGGTCAGTTTGGTAGAAATACGTCCAATTGATGGACAAAGCTACATTCCAACTACAAATTAGGATAGTACCACAATTTTAGGGGATAACCCCTGACACTTTTTCCCCGTGATAAGAAGAAGTTCCTTGTTGGTTTGATTTCATTTGAGGTTGAAACAGAGGATTATACTCTCGTCGAAACAAGAAAGGCCAGTTTGGTATCGAGACATTGTGGCTCGTCTGTATATTAAAGCGGGCATTTCAAGGCCCACCCATCATTTTAATGGAAGAACCGAGTTACAGAAATTGCCAATGCGCTCTTCATTTTTATTTCATATCATCATCATCATCATCATCATCGCAATATATAGTTCCGTAAGCCCGATCCTGTGGATCAAAATTTAGAGGGGACCGCCGCACAGTGGATCGAGTCAACAGAGGAGGTCGGACACAATTTGGAAACTTTAAACGCTTATAACTCCGTTTATACAAAACTTGGAGGTTCCAAAAGTGTTTCAGTTGGTTTCCTCGTGAAATTTTCTCCTAGAAGCACCCCTTAAAATTTAAAATATGACGAATAAAACATCAAAATTTGCAATTTTAGTCACAAATTGCATGTCTAACCTCTCTCATTGACTCGATCCACTGTGCGCCGGGCCGATCCGGGCGTAGGTGGTACCGCTTTGACCATCCCGGTCCCCCGCGGAAATGGCGGGAAACTTAGAGGGATCGCGCGGCGGGCCTCGCGCCCCTTGCGCCCTTTGAAAAATTGGTTATCGCGTTCGTCCCGTCGGGAGATGCGCGGTTTATCGTTATTTTTTTTTTTTCGGTCAGCGGATGGATCGGCTGCGCCCGGAGGGGGAAACGGACACAGGATATGCTAAGAGCAACGGAGATGGATTTCTGGAGGAGGTCAGCAGGGATTTCTAGGAGAGATCGGGTCCGTAATGATAGAGTGCGTCAGATAATGGAAGTCGGAAATAACATCGTGTTCGACGCCATGACCAAACAGCTTATCTGGTACGGTCATGTCAATTGGATGACGGAGGAGAGGCTGCCAAAAAATATGCTTGATTGGGTTCCTCCTGGGAGGAGACGAAGGGGACGCCCGGTGAAAGGTTGGCGACGGGGGGTTATGGATGAGATGAAGGAATGATTACTCCCTGATGACCTGTGGGAGGACCGAGTTTTGTGGCGGTTAGGCGTCGCAGAGCGCTGGAGAGCGCTGTGAGAGCGACTCTTATGTATGTAGATGGAGGAAAAATAGTGTGGCCAAGAATCGCAACTGTTTAACTGTGGTCAATGTAGCACTCACAATAATTGCAAAGGGCAGCACATCTTTGCTGATGACGCGAGGACCTCAGCTTGCAAACTTGGCAAATATTTGATCCTCTTGTTCCCAAGCGTGCTTGAGTGCGACTCGGACTGCCCGCCCGGCATTGTTGATGGTGAAGTTTCAGTGGTTATACTTCAATCTCCGATTCGTTCTGCGATTTTCTCGTTTCATTATGGTTTTTTTACCAGGAAATGGTGAGTACAGTAATTAGGTAGTCTTCAGTTTCATTGCATGATGAATACGCTACTTTAGTACCATTTCGATGTATAATTTCATATACCTAGGTACCCTTTTAAATGGCTGCATCAGCCACAGTCTCCCAGTAGAAATACTTATTATACAGGGTGTCCATGGGTTGAAACACCGCACTGCAATTACTTGATCCATCTTATTGTTTTCTCTTCAAAGCTGTTTTTTTTTCCTCCAAAAGTACCTCCAAGTTTGGGACCTTCCATCAAATTTTTGGGAAAATCTTCGTTTTTTTCTTCAACATTTCGGGAATGGTCATCGACCGAAATTCTTGAAAAACTACTCTTCTTCTAAGTTTTAACGTCAAATTGCCTCAAGATCTAAGAAAGATTGGAATCATAAGTTAAAGGGGGCTGTCAGGGTGCCTTATATTTTGCAGGGTAAAGACACTTGGTTTCTACTCTCGAACCCCGGAAATCTCTCTTCAGCTTTATATTTTAATTTTTTGGAGACATTCGGTGAATAAAGCTTTCAAATTCGTAGAGAATAGCCAATTTTTACAAATTTAGGTTCACATGTGACGCAAAATTATGAAAAACCCCATGATTTGCTTAATTGATTGGGTAGCTGTAGCTGTGATGGGAGCACTTTTGAAAAACACTAACTTTATATGTAGAAAAAAAAAAGTCTTATTTTGACCCATAGATGACACTCCTCCAATCTGGCGGTTTAACCCTGCGACACTCGCTGTAGATAAAGATAATAGGAGATATACATAGGGATATATTATTTGTTTAAGTGATTTTATTAATTTGTGCATTCTGATTCCGGTAATCCAAATTTCCACAGAGATAACGAACAATCAGTTTATCTTGAATTTAAATTTTATCTTTACAACTATCTTTAACTCTGTATGAATTTCCCTCATTCATGAAAAGAAAATTCTTAAAAATGTATGTACATTTTCCCCCCTCATTTTTCCTCATCAGGATTAAAATAATCCTTTCGATTTTACGACGCCGTATTTAATGTGCATTTGTTTTCTTTACGATCAGTGTGTATTATATTCTGGGTCAAAATGTTGTAAAATTCATACCGCATTTGATGAAAGATGAGTTTTTGTAAAAGGGGAAAGCACGGTGGGAAATCATCTTCACATGTAAAATTACAATACCGTCAACATTAGAAGAATATTTCATACTCGAGGATGTTACATCTTCCCCTTTCCAGGAAAGAGATTCCTATTTGCGTCTTTTATTGCACTGGTGCCTTCAAAAAGACACAATATTTGACGAAAATCATTTAATTTCAATTCTTTGCCAGAAAAACCAATTCCAACTCGAATATTAATTCCGAAAAACTGACTATAGTTATTTGCTGAAAAATCTACGTTTCTAGATAGCATTGGAGTCAAAACTATTGACTTACAAGAAAAGAGCGATTTTCGGCAAAGGTATATCCCTAGTTCGTTTAGAACTTACTCCAGAGGTATTGGAATTCAAAAATGCTCATCACGTCTAGAGCCCCGTCAACCTATTAGTAATAATATTTAATGTCGTACTTAAATCAATGGAAAACTATCTAGGTCAACTAGTTATTTACCCAGATAGCACAGGAATATTCAGAGAATATTCTGAGGACATTCATTGATAAATCCAGAACATTCTCAGAATATTCTGAGAATGTTCTCGGAATATTCTCAGAACATTCTGAGAAAGTGTGAATGAAACAAGTTCAGAACATTAGGAATATTCTAGGAATATTCTGGGAATGTTCCATCAAAGAACATCCGTGGGACATTACAGAGAAGAAAATTCCACATAAAAATTTCCACGGACATTTTATTTTTTAACGATTGAAGAACAGGAAATGTTCAAGATTTTTTTTTTAAATTTTGATAGAAAAAAAATTGAACATTTTCTATGGCATTCAAAAAAAGGAAGGAAATCAAGACACTTTTAAAATTAAATACATTTGCGTGTTGAATGATCATTTGCGACTTTGACACACATTTAATTTTAAAATCATGATTATTTTTCTGGTCATTACAAATTGTAATATTTTTTTTAAGAAAGAATTGACAGTACAGGGATTTCTCGTAACAGGGGGGAACAAAAAATGTCGGTGGAAATTCATGATTCTACGGTAATTGAAGCTGGCAGTGGAAACTTTGAAATAAGATACCATAAAATCTAGAGAGGAAAAACGAAAGAAGTATCTTTATTCAAAAATCAAATTTAGCAAATAAGCTGTAGGCGATTGAGAACAGAACGCTGATGATAGCTTGAACTGGAGAAGTGGTCAAATGAGAAAATAAAATTTACAATTCGAACGCCAAAAATAACACCTACTTGTGCGCTTTGACATTGCTTAGCTGCGCCTTTTTTTAGGAAGAAAACACAAATTTGGGGCTCTTATCACAAGGATTTCCCCTGAGAAACTCTTACCTACTAGAAAAAATAAAGAAAATGAAAAACATAATAAATTTAATATAAATTACCCCTGAGAAACTCTTACCTACTAGAAAAAATAAAGAAAATGAGAAACATAATAAATTGAATATAAATTACCGAAAGTCACAAAACAGGTAACACAATTGAGAATTGACATACTTGCTGATGATAATGATTTGAAGAAATATTGACGGTGGAAATTTATAATACTACAGTAAATGAAGCTAAATGACGATAAGGAATTGAAATTGTAACTTCAACACGCATTTAATTTTAAAATCATGATTATTTTCCTAAACATTACCAAAAAATACAATGATACCTTATAAAAATAAAAGTATTGACAGCACAGTGATTGCTCGTTAGAAAAGAAAAAAAAAAAAAAAATATGTAGGTGGAAATTCATGATACTACAGTAATTGAAGCTGGCAGTGGAAACTTTGAAATAAGATACCATAAAATCTAGAGAGGAAAAACGAGAGAAGTATCTTTATTCAGAACGCTGATGATAGCTCAAGCTGGAGAAGTAGTCAAATGAGAAAATAAAATTTACAATTCGAACACCAAAAATAACACCTACTTGTGTGCTTTAACATTGCTTTACTGCACCTTTTTTTAGGAAGAAAATACAAATTTGGGGCTCTTATCACAAGGATTTCCCCTGAGAAACTCTTACCTACTAGAAAAAATAAAGAAAATGAAAAACATAATAAATTTAATATAAATTACCCCTGAGAAACTCTTACGTACTACCCGCCCGGCAAAGCAACGTTGCAAAAACGTTGCGGCAACATTGCCAATTATCTGGTAATGTTTCCTGGCAAAGTGTTGACAAGGTTGTGGCAAACAGAATTTTGTCTCACGGGCCGCAACGTATCCTGGCAACGTTTCTGCAATGTTTCACAGTAATATTACCATGTTATTGCTGAGTAACATTTCGGATATATTATCCTGGCACTTTTTAAAAAGATTACACAGAAACGCTATCATAACGTTACTTGAATTATTGAGGCAGTTTAAACCAGGACCAACTTTACGATTACCCACCCTCTCACCCGGCAAGGCAACATAGCCAATTACATGGGTGCGTTTCTGGGCAACATAATGGCAATGTGACAAATTGTGGCAAAAAATGTGCCGTATGGATGCCACCTTTAAGTTGATGTAAATTTTGACATGTTTGGAGAAATGTGAAACCGTAACAAATTGGACCGAAAAAGATAAAAAAAAGAAGCATGTGAAAGTCAAGATAATTAGGTAACCCAGCCTTTCCTTTTAAGCTGACTTTCTTAACCATTAAATTCTGCACAAAAGATCCTAGTGGGACTTGTAATTGATACTCTAAGTCTGAAAATTCAAATTGAGCGGGGAAAAAAATTATTAAATCAAGTACATTAACACTTAAACAACAATCAGTGTTCCATAATCAAGACTAAACTTTCTTCAGGGCCAAGAATAACCATAACAAAAGAGGATACTGCTAGTAATACCACATTAGAATACAGAGGGAAGTAAACTTTTTAATAGGCTCCCGAATGAACTAAAGAGTATGATAAAAAACATTTTAAAATTTATTTTTAAAATATATATTTTATTATTTTTTCTTCTCAGACAAGAAAAAGCACAGTAATTTCCAAGAGATATGGTTCAAAAGTTCTTCTAAAAAGAGGAGAGCAAGACAGGAGAGGCCGCATACATTTGACAGCTAAACTAGGATTAATGGCCTCAAGATCAGCCTCCGAGGCTGTTTCTCTAACTTTTCTAATACTGATCAACTGTCATCAATAAATTTATTTGATTGAACCAAGGACAAAGATTTACTATTATACAATGAAAAGATAGAATATACAATTTTTTACAATATAATGTTCAAACCTAACAAATTTTACACTCCATTTCTCTACTTCTAACAATTTTTGACTTGTTTTACACAACCTTAAAAAAGAAAGCTCAGAACAGAGATGCTTAATTGTTGATTGTAAAAAAGTCAGTTTCGAAAGTACAAAAAAAAGGAAGGCAATTTCTCAATGCACATCCCATGTAGCATTTGGATTTCAAGATTAAGTAAGGGAAAAGTAAACGTAAAGTAAGCTTGAGGTAAGCTTAAAGTAATGGTGAATTCACATTTACTTCACGATTAAGTGATCCTTAATCAATTTTGAGTAAAACTGTCACTTTTTTTGAGAAGGACTTTAAGTAATCGTTACTTGAGGTTTATTAAATCAGTTTTACCAAATGATTACCTAACGATTTACTGTACATTAAGTAACACTTATATAATTCTGAGGTGTCCATTTCTGGACCAAAATTTAAGCTAATATTGATATCGCCACTTTCCGGCCAAAGTATCGCAAGCTCCATGCGAGGTTTAAAAATTTCTGCTGCCATTTAATTTTTTTATAGAGAAATCGTTGAATCTGTTTGAACATTTCACTGATTTTTATCAGCAGCACTGAGAAAATTTAGTGAAATTTTTGGACAGCTTTGTCGAACAATTTCTCTGTAAAAAAATCAAATGGCGGCGGAAATTTGTGAACATCACATGGATCTTGTGATACTTTGGCCGAAAGGTGACGATTTATTCATGCATTGATTATCAATTGAAGCTTACATCACTTCAGAGCCGAAAAGTTCCATTTGCTCCTTCCTTATCTTCTTTTTCTTAATATTACTGCAGCTTTAGTGTCGGAACGAGGCCTGTTAGCTGCAATACTTTATGGTGAAATTTAACAGGGTGATATACACCACCCGTTTCAGGCTTATTTCTCAGAATAAATTCGTACCTACATGCTTCAGACTCATGGAGCCAACAAACCGAAGGGAAAAAATGCAGAATTGATTCAATTACAAGGGCATTAGGTAATTTTATTTCATTTATTGACAGTTTCCTGTGGCAAAATAGCATGCAAAAGGAAAATATAATAGATATGACTCACCAAATTCAACTGATCCTTCATCAAAAATAAAACCTGAAGAAAAACACCAATGATGCTATTCATGATACTTTGGACACAGCACTTTCACTTTCATTTATTTTCTCCTTTAGAATAGAGCAATGCATATTAAAGGTAACTAATCGAACTTCACACCACTTCAAATTTCTTAAAAAATTTCCGGTCAGACATAAAATTTTTAGGAAAACAATAGCTGCTAAGTACTTATGTTTATTTTCTCTGAACACACTTCAACTTCTTTTGATGATGTTGCTTTGAGGCGATTCATGGTGAATTTCTCAAAACCAGATGATTTTTAGTCGCTGCTAATTTCCTATCGGATGACTGCTCAGATGAGAAACTGACAGCCATGTCATAGAATAGTAGCCGCTTTCTTAATCCAGAATGTAAGAAATCCAGAAAGAGGGAGCAAGCTGGAGTGCAGGAAGCCCTTCAAAAACCTGAAAAACAGACAAATAAACAGCATTATACAAGGCATGGTGACAGTTTGATGAGGTGACTTGTGACTGTTTAGCTCTTAGATTTTATTCATACTTGACGTGCAAATTTTATCCGTTGAAAAAAAAAATTACCTAGATCTCCAGCTGTTTCATTTAAGTAGAATGAAATTTTAAAATAATCATAAAATTGCAATTCTTTCAAAAACTATAAATCGGTGTAACTTCTCAATTGTTAATACCAGAGATTTTTTCCAGAACTCTCTTGAAACTGAGGATTTTAATTTTTTGCCCTGTCTAATGTAGAAAACAGGTACCTAAGTGAGGTACAGGTAAGAGGAACACTTACCAAAACCAAGTTGCCAACAATTTATTTTCAACCCGTTTCAGCAAATATTTAAACTGAGAAAAAGTAGGCATCTGAAATCGGACTTTAATTATCTTCTTTTCTCCCCCTCCAATCAAACACAACAATTGAAATTGTTACATCATTAACACATATCTCTTTGAAAATTGACCTTACAAGTTCCCAAAATTTAGGTTAGTGCAATGTAACATGATTTTTCTCATTTATTGTGCTCTTGGAAAAAACAAACATACTGTTTACCGCACTCTAGTTCATTTGTGTAATAATGCCCTAGCATTCAGTACAAGTGAAACGGAGCCTGAGAGACGATAAACTGGCTCGCTCTGAACGCTTGGATACTTTCATATCTTGGTCCTTACACGCAGTTTAATGAAATGCTATTCCGATGTGATGATTGATCATGCTTAATTTTTACGGCAATCTACATTGCCGTGGTGGTAGTAAATAATCAAGGGACAAAGAGACGGAGGCAGGGCTCACGAGAACATCATTTCTTTTTATTCCCTACTAGATATTCTAACATGCAGAAGCTCAGTTTTAAGAAAAGTACAATGGGTCAGTTGTATATGTCACAGAAACAAATTATGATACTTAGTTGCAGGTCCTTTTCGCTGACAGTGCTAAGTCACGCGAGTGATGTACTGAACATTCAAGAGGTATCATTTTACATTCACTGAGAGAATTAGAAGAGGTTATGTGTTGGATCAACCTAATGAAAACGTACCAGGTAGAGTGGGTAATAAAAATAATAGAGAACGGGACATATCATCACTCCTTGGACAAATGGACGCAACTTTGTATTGTACTGAGCCATAATGTTCATATAACTTGGTGCGTACTTGCAGGGTTTGTGTGAAAATGGAGGTATGACCTAATAATAAAGAAGCGATGAGATGTTTTAATAGCGAGATGAGCTTGGCCCAACTTAGTGAGTGGGACATTGGTCAAATCGGGACGAAGGTCTAAATTTGCGCACCTTTCTGCCGTGATGGCGAAGAGAGCCATAAGCGCATTTCTGCACGAGCCATGATTAGCACATGATTTTATTTGTCTTGAAGTTCATCCCAGCCTGCACTTATCGCTCTCTTCGCTATCACTGCAGTGTTGTCTCATGAGAGTAATAGAGACTTCCAACTTGTGAGACAAAAGTATTTCATGGTTTCCAGTGAGTCCTAAACGATACCTGCCCTCTCCATGTTTTCCAGAACGACTTTTCTTATCATAATAATGACACTGTGACAGGTATGTCATTTCATGTGAGGAAGTGAGAACAGAAATTTCGTTGCTGGAGGGAGGAAGATCTCAGTTGATTTAGATCATTAATTTTGGGTAGGGTCTGTCGATCTACATTTCCTGAATGATATACTAACAAAATTTAAGTACTTACATTTATTTTGGAGGCTGCATCAGAAGAGAGACTGGAAAAATACACCAAAATCGTCTCTGGCTGTAACAACGAGACGAGGTAACGGCTGGACGGCTAGCTAGCGCAAAGCGCAACCAGGCATATCGGAAACGGACGGCGGAATTGTAGGTTAGGTCGTGAGTTTTGGAGGGAAACTACGAAGCACGCTGTCGTACTTACCCGAAAAGTTCCGGAAGAAGCCGAATCGTATGATCGTATGAACTTTCTTCAAGCACGAGCAGATCATCCGAAAACGCGAAAATCTAAAGAAAGGCACCCACACAGCTAATTTTTTCTTGACAAAGAAATTTTCTTTAATTAAAATTAATATTTTTTTTTCATCTAAAGAAACATCAATGAGACCAATTTTTTTCTAAATTTAAATAAAATACTTCATTTCAGTTACACTCAATTTTTTTGACTCAAAAATATGTTTCACTGAGGAAAAAAAATCTTCGTCGAGAATAGGATAAGATCGAAAGAGTTGATACGTCGCTGCCAAAGGTCGCTGCATTGCAGGAAGATTGACTCGGACTGCCCGTATCGGTGCATAAACAGTGCCCCTTCAAGGGCCTTTGCGACAACATTATATACAATCGGTCCTTCTTCCAATGTCCACGGCTAGAATAAGAAAATCTACGTTCCACAGCGAGTAACTTTTTATGGACGCGTGCTGTGACACTAGACACTTGGAAACGTTTACGTAAAAAGAAAATAAATAAATATATTATAAGTATGAAAGCAATTGAAAAAATAAGTAATAAAAGTAATTTTAACAAAATACCCCATAAAAATATATAAATAGATTTTACCATCGAAAATCAAATAATAATATATAATATAAATTAATTAATACATTTTAAAAAAATTAAAAAATTGATTCGTTTAAGCGCGGAAAAACGAAGAGACGGGCCCGGAATTTAATAAGTGTAGTAAAAAAATTAAGGAAGGAAAAAAAATGAAAAAATATTAAAGTGAAAAAAACTAAGAAATTCCAAGTCCCGTAACTAAATGAAGGGTTCAGTGCATAAATCAGGTGTGACATTTTTGTGATGTCGAGAAAACGCGTTTGAAGCATGAAAATTACATGGGACCTATATACCAGGTGGTCCGCGCCGCCACGGGCGGGTACGAGCTCAGCTCGAATGTTCAGAGGACATTCTGAGAATATTCCGAGTTTACCTGCTGATCCAGAATATTCTCAGAATATTCTCTGAATATTCAAATGCTGCCCAAAAAGTCGGAACATTGTCAGAATATTCTCCGAACTTTTTGTGCTATCTGGGTAGGTACTATCTAGGAAAACTATCTTAGAATGATAGTATTTTACCCTATTTAAGCGGACATTCGTCGTTACCCTCATGCAAGAACCTAACTACATTTCAATGTTGCCAAATTTTCTTTCGCAAATTGCGTTTTTATCAGGAGAATCTTAAGTGTTCCTAATTGAAAATTTCCCTGATTTTTCATCTGATCGCATGCAAAAATCAGAAAAATTTGGAGAAAAATTGTGGAAGTAAATTGTAAAAAAAAAATTAGGTATTTGTTTGAGTCAACTTTGTAACCTTATGGACTTACGTTAATTAGTGTGAAAGATGGTGAATTATTGCAAAAATGGAATTTTCGGAGAGGGTCCAACGAATATCATTGAAAACTGCCGTGCGATTGCACAAATAACGAGACATACCTGGGAATTTTAATTTAACATTATTCTAATTACCTAAACTTTATCAAGCAAGTTTTTCAGAGTGTTACGTTGAGTTCATAAAAATTTCTGGTTTTTCAGATCCATGGACCTAACATTTTGGCGGTTCGTGAAACTAATCGGTTCTCCTCCAGGATTTCTGCACAGGGAGAGAAATAATGGACAAGTATCCAGGTGGATGGATACCGGGCGTACAACTTAAAAATGAGTTTGTCTCAGAAGACTCTCTGAAAGATAAAGATGAATACAGGGCAGGTAGGGTTTGATTTTTTACACTAATTTACTTCCTATCTCCTTGGTCAAGGAGGCGATTTTATTCTCACTGTAATTCCGCGAACTCAGGCGAATCCAGGGGGGACGTAGGGGGTATACCTAAGCGCCCCGCCTCCTTCGCCGGAAAAAAAGGAGGAAGAAAACGGGAAGAAAGACAGAGGGAAGGAACGGAAGAAAGAAGAGAAGAGGGAAGGGCGCTTATATTTGATAATTATTCTTGAAAAAATTCACTTATAATGCATATCAGATGCTTTGATATTTTGAAAAATTTCTGGAGAACCACCGGACCCCCATTCGAAATGTCTAGATCCGCCTATTTCCGCAACATCCACCCGGAAATTGATTCCTCTTTCCAACCTCCCCTTCCCCATTTTTTACGCAACTTTGCGCCCTTCTTGTTAGGATGTATTAATGTTAGGCCTTTAATCCAATGGGTAAAAACGTTTACCACATTTCAATTTGTAAAACAGCCTTCCTGGAACATTCTGTCGGCGAGGTGACCGTCAAAGAACGCTTTTGTAACATACGAGTATGCTGCCGTGCTAAGGAAAAACGCCGTTTGAGAATTCGAATGTTGCCAAATTTCCTCTCAGAAAATGGCTATTTTCGAAGAAAGTTATGAATATTCTTCCTTTAAATTTTCGGAATTTTTAGATCAAATTACGAACAAAATCCTCCAAAAAATCGGAGGAGAAATACTCGCAAATTTTCCTGAAAATTCGTCGTTTTTCGAAGGGAATTTGGCAATGCCTGATGGCTCATACGGCGTTCTTCCTTAGCACGGCAGTATTATGGGCAACAAGCCTGTCGAGATAGATAAATATTTTTTTTCGACTTTCGCCATTGATAGATCGACAGATAAACGGATTTAACCAAAATTAGCCTGTGAGCATTTTGATGACCATGTTGTGGAACCACTCATCTCCGTCTGCAACGTTGCAGACTTCCTGTTATACTTTTTTCTTCTTTGGAAAACTTATCAACATAATTTCTTGAAAAATACTTTGAATTTTTTTCTCACTTTGCAGAACATTCTTTACGGATTTCAAGCTATGAAATTGGCTTGTTTTTCTTCTTTTTTTGTGAGTTGAATTGTGTTTTTCTGACAAGGAATATACACATTGTTCTTAAGGACACATTGAAGTGGAGTATACAAACTACCGGGCAATTTGTAACTTATTTACATGTAAAAACAATATAATATCAATTGGATCAGACATGGCAGTTCCCACAGCTGGACCCTGGCTTGTTTCTCTTTGAAAAAAACAAAATTGGAACGGAAATTTTGAAACACCGCGATGGAAATACGTGGTTTTGCTCTATGGCTATCGATTATTGTCTGATTCCCTCTCGTGTTGTATTATTTCCACAAGAAACTAAACAACACACTGCTTCGAAACACTGTGAATATTTTCTACGTAACAAAGATTGCACTGATAAAATCGCAAGTCGAAGTGTTGCCTGACAATGAAACCGGAGAAGAAATTGGACACGAAAAATATGAAAATAAAGTAGCAATTTGATACAATAAAATCGCAAATTTATTTACTACGAATTTACAATATTTTTACATCCTTGGGTCAATAAATGAAGATTTTAAACAATTGTCTTCCATATATCAAGGAGACAGAGACAGACAGTTAGCAATTGAAGGAACAATTTCAGATTATTTCAATATTATTGCTAAGGTCAATCCACACGGGTCAGTTACTGCACATTTTCTTTGGAATCCACTCCCCCTCTTGGCCCTCACTTGACCAAAGCCAAAGTGACGTCATATTGACTGCTCCCATAAGAAATACATAGGATTTGAATTTCCCGCCGCAATGCTCATCGTGCATAAAGTCCCAAAACTCGTTCACGAGAATAACTGACCTGTGTGGATTGGTCTTGGTCCTAGTCTATTGCAATGAACGTCAATACAAAAAGCCCCTTCAATTAGTACAAAGGCAACATGCTTAGCATTGACGCAGTCACAATAAGGTCACTGTGTAATCGCAATTAGAGTACCTAGATAGGGAGAGTACGGACATGTCGAAGTATGGAGATCCTAGAGCTCAAAAGGGCAGCCAACCTTTTAACACGAAAAACGATAGAAAAATGCAGCTGCCGATCTTTAAATTTTAATATCAAACCAAGATAGGCCAAGAATGTTCATAAATGAACGTTCTTTCGCATACATGAGTTTTATGCACAAAACTAAGCCAAATATGTGATTTACAAGCAATTGATCATAACAGTTGTGATAATAAATCACCCTAAATAATTTGAATTCATAGATTGGCTACCTTTTTGGGCCTTAAAAGCTCCGTGATCTTACCTCAAAATTCCCAGTATGTCCGTGCTCCCTCCATGTAGGTACTCCAATCGCAATTTACTTAATGCAACCTGTGCTACTTTAGCAATGATCTGACCAAGTAATAGATTTTATTAAAACTATGGTTACTTGAATTCTATTCTAGATCTGGGTCAAGACGCCCTCATTCACAACGGATCCGAACTTAATCAGCATCAGCCAATAACGCATCTGGAAAATGAAGATGTCAAATTATTCGCCAGGAGTTGGTGCAACATCGATGATCCATTGGTGCAAAAGCCATTAGTGCTTCTGGAGAGACTTGATGCCAAGCTCATGGACAGCCTAACGAGCCCTTCACCCGCTGAGCGCAAACACGTAACTTTGTCTTTATTAAAAAAGATAAAAGTAGAAGAGGCAGAGGACGATATAAATCCACTTAGAGGTACCTCAAAAATGTTCACTTTTTTGTCATATTTTATCTGATGCTGTGTCTGCAACAGTTGTTTTAAATCTTACGTTTGGTTTGCGCGACCCAGATCATTTCGACTGAGCAGTATAAAAGGTTGAAAAAAAAAAGTTGTCTCCTGGTTCAAATAGTTGGTACGGTTGAAAATAAAGAAGCGACCAATAAATTTCGAACCTCATTGTATATATTAGGGGGCTATACCCCCTGGCCGCTACGCGGCCGAACTCTAAGGGGGCGCTTCGCGTTCTCTTATGCCCGCTTCGACAAAATAATGACCCAAATAAAAATGAGAAGATTTTCATACCCGAATCTCATTAGTCCAATCTCCCTCTGGCCTGAAGCGACATGACCAATAAAAATCGAATAGAAAAATCGGCATTTATTTCAAACTTCACGCGAGGACTGAAACGAAATGGAATGGAGCGTTTCGTCGCTTTTGGATAGTCTGTAACAAAGGAGCATACCTTCGATTCACTTACCTTACCCTACTAACGGACCAAGATTCAAAATTTTCCGCTTCGTTCAATTTTTCGCTAAATTTGAAATGCCGACCATCTTTCATTGGCGGGAATTTTAAATTGTACTACCATTATAAGCTCCTTGGTTCACTATTATATAAAGAAACCTGGGTCCTATTTCCAAAATCGGATTACAACCGGCTCATTTAGGGACTATCGTCTGTCAATAGCCACAAAAATCATGGAAATCGGCTCAGCGGAGGGCTCAAACGAACTGCGACAAAAAATTAAAATTTACATTTTTTAAATGGGAGAATTCGCAAGTTAATGTATCATACCACGTCTCATACAAAAACCTGGGCCATTTTCTCAAAATCTGAATGAGACGGGCTTATTTAAGTCTTTGGGCCAGTTGGTAGCCGCAAACATCATGAAAATCGGCCCGGTAGAACGCCAGAACTAAGCGTTACCAGAACTGAAAATTTAGGAGGCTTTAAGATGACTTCTAAATTCTAAAGTGCATAGTAAAACAAAGAGCGATTGTGGGTTTTGTTAAGTTTTTTCCTTCCATTCTTTTAACCTCTTGTGTTATCAATTGTATAGAATCAATTTATACTTTTAAGGTATTAAATTTTTAAATGGTAGAGTTTTATACCTGTCCCTCACCGCTCAACATCGAATCAAATTCATTGACTATGGTGCCATGCATTTGCTATAATCATAATATATTTCACCATTCAGGTGTAATCTATTTACCATCCTCTGAAAATCCATTCAAATCTTAACCGAAATTGAAACTTATTAGGGGAAAAACAGCTTAATTTTAGTGGTAATGGTGTATGGAACCATAATTCCGGTATAATCAATGTTTTTCTCTTTTAAAGAGCGATCCAGAGCCCTTATGTATTTTTCCCCCATTTTTTCTGGGAAACATAATAGGAAAACAAATACCCAAAATATGTACCAGTACGACCTACAGTTTTTAGTAATTGAGTCTCTCTCTCTCTCTTCAGTAACTAATATGCGAAAACGTCTTATTAAGAATATCAAAATGAGGATTCATGTTTTATTCTATGTTTTATGCATGTACTATTTTTGGAACGTTTTTCAGAACATTCTAGTAAGATCGCTGTCCTCCAGTTGGTTCCAAAAAGGGAAATTGACATCGAATTTCCCACCACGGCCATGATAAAGGAGCAACCTGATTCAAAACCCGAAGTCAAGTTACACCATGAGCTTATTTTCGACAGCACTGGAGAATACCTTGACAGTAAGTACGAGTACGTACAGGATGCATCTTAGAATACAAGCTAGTTGCATCTGGAACGAGCTCGCAATATTATTCTTGTTTGAAGTGATTTTTTCTTCTCTTTTTTTTTTCCTAATTTGAAACGCACAGCCGTTCCGTTACATTGGATTAAAGGCGACTGTAACCATGCGTCATCGCTTCATTTAATATATTAGGCCTCAGACCATTAAGAAATTTTTTATATAACTTCAAATTTAAGCCTCGTTTTTCAGTCAAAACGCAGTCTAGAGCTTTTAAATTCCTGCCAAAATTTCTTTCAGAAGCTCCTACTTTCGAAACAATTAACCCCGGATCTTGCAAGAGCTCTATTGGGTCCAAAAGGACTACCTTTCGGTAGTTAGAAAGTATCTTTTCATGCTCAGCTACATAAGCTTGTCTCATAAGCTACCGCTAAAATGAACCAGGAATATTAGTTTCCTAATACAAAATGTAGTCTAAAATGGTTCTCTTCGGGAATTTTCTACTGTCGCACAGTGGAACAAGCTGATAGAGGAGGTAAGGCATGACATTTTTTTCTAAAATTTCATATTTTGACTTCCATTTTGTCACAAATTCCAAGGGGTGTTTCCAACTTGAAATTTTACGAGATAACCGATGTAACCACTCTCAAACTTTTTTGTTTCATATTTTCGAAAATTTAAGCTTTCAAATTTTTCATATTTTGTCCGACTTCTCCTATTGACTCGATCCACCATGTGACGTACTCAGGCCCGCCACATCCCATCTCGGGCCCTGGTACCAATTTTCTGGCCCGGGCCCCTATCACAGGGGGGGGGGGGGGGC